CATCTCAAATATAAACGTCTGAAAACAACTATAGATAATACCCAGAATATTCAAGGATCTCCTGCAAGTCAAAAAGAAAAATAGCAAGAACCCCAATAAAAGTACTGGCTGAGAATATGAATGGGCAACTTATAAAAGGAGGGAAAGAAAGCTAACTAGCATACAAAGAAGTGCTCACATTCATTAGTATTCAAAGGAATGCAAAGTAAAACAATAGATGTTACTTTACACTTGTTAGATTGGTAAAAAAAAAAAAATTGAAAGCTGGATCTTGTCACATGTTGGCAGGGATGTGTACTGCTGAAGGAAGTAGAGATGGGTACAGTCAGCCAGGAGAGCAATCCGGCACCACTTAAGTCAGACTGAGTGTGCGCTTACCCTACCACCCAACAGGTCCACTCAGTCCTGGGTAGATCTCCTGCAGAAATGATTATGCAGCCTGTAATAGAACACACATGAAGACATCTGTTGCAGTGTTATGTGTAGCAGCACGGAGTTGGAAGAGTGACTAGGTAAAACGTATAGAGTACTATAGAATGGTTATAAGCAACTAACCGGACGTACATAATGGCCAATATGAGTGGATCTCAAAAACACAATGCAGAGTGAACAAAGGGGGAAACGTAATGAGTATTTTTTTATGATTCTCAAAAATCCTGAAATCCCCTAGTAAAATCTAAAGTCCTTACACCGTCCTACAAAGCCCCACATGATCTGCCTCCCTGCCTCCATCTCTCTGTTTTCCTCACTGACGTCATCTTCTACCACTGTCCCGCTACTCACTGCGCCCCAGCCTCCCTGGCTGCCTGCTATAAACACACGCCAGGCACGGAGGCTGCAGCAGGGCCTTTGCACTGGCTGTTCTTCTGCCTGGAATTACAAGCCTTCAGAATCCCCCATAGACACACACATACACACCTACACACATACACACACACATGCACACACATCTTATGAATTCCATTTTATGCATGTGTGTGTGTATTTCTGTTAAATAGAAGAGCTATAGGGTATTTGTGGATTACAGCAAAGATATTTAAATCTTCTATGTCATTATGTTACCTTCAAAGATATTCTTAGAAAACAATATTTATGTCCCTTGTACCAAGCTCTAACAGAAAAATGCTGTCACAATTCAGATTGCATATTTTAAGTATAATCCCACAAACAAGCCCAACAGGAATCTTTTACAAAAAGTTTTTTCTTTTCCTTGGCTGCAGCACAAAATCCACTGAACTGTCTCTTTTCTCAAACAAAACTTATATCCACACTGATTATTTAGAAACAGATTACTCAGTTTATGAGTTTTCTAGATGTTTAACTTCTTTCTTACAGTTTTTCTTGCTTTTCAAGTGGGTCAATATCTATGCTACTACCTTTAGAATGTCAAACATTTTGAAGTTCAAATAGATCATACTGAAAATATTAACTATGTCACACATTAGATATGAAACCTGCAACAAACAGTTTTGAAAAGTCCAGTGTTTAGGAAATAAAAATAGTGATTACTGACTACTTATTACGTACTGGTCACCCCTCTAAGCTGCATTAACTCTTGCANGGCCAACAAAAAGTCTACAAGTAATAAATGCTGAAGAGGATGTGGAGAAAAAGGAACCCTCCTACACTGTTGGTGGGAATGTCAATTGGTGCAGCCACTGTGAAGAACAGTGTGGAGGCTCCTTAAAAATTAAAAATAGAGCTGCCGTGTGACCCAGCAATGCCAATCCTGGGCATGTACCTGGAGAAAACTATAATTCGAAAAGATGCATGCACCACAGTGTTCACAGCCATGTTTTACAACAGCCAAAGCATGGAAGCAACCTAAATGTCTATTGAAAGAAATGGATCAAGAAGATGTAGTACGTATAGACAATGGAATACTTGATATTGTTGTTCAGTCACTCAGTCATCTCCAACTCTTTGCAACCCATGGACAGTAGGTAACCAGGACCCAGCTCTCTCCTCTGACCTCCACTGCCGCCTGGAGTTTGCTCAGACTCATGTCCATTGAGTCGGTGATGCTATCTAACCTTCTTATCATCTGCCACCCCCTTGTCCTTCTGCCTCAGTATTTCCCAGCATCAGTGTCTTTTCCAATGAGTCAGCTCTTCGCAGCAGGTGGCCAAAATATTGGAGCTTCAGTTTCAGCTTCAGTCCTTCCAATGAATATTCAGGGTTGATTTCCTTAAGACTGACTGGTTTGATCTCCTTGCAGTCCAAGGGACTCTCAAGAGTCTTCTCCCAGGACCACAACTTGAAAACATCAATTCTTTGGTGCTCAGCTTTCTTTATGGTCTGACTCTCACATCCCTGCATGACTGCTGGTGAAAACTCTCACATCCATGCATGACTACTGTATAGCTTTGACCTACAGATCTTTGTCAGCAAAGTGATGTCTTTGCTTTTTAATATGCTGTCTCAGTAAAAAATAAAAAAGAATGAAATAATGCCATTTGTATCAACATGGATATACCTAGAGGTTATCATACTAAGTGAAGTAAGCCAGATAAAGACATATCATGTGATATCACATATATGAAGAATCTGAAAAAAAAAAAGATACAAATGAACTTTTATACAAAACAGAAATACACTCACAGACTCAGAAAATGAACTGATGGCTACCAAAGGGGAAAGGTGTGGGGGCTGGGGATAAATTAGGAGTCTGGGACTCACACGTATCTACCACTCTATCTGGGGCTTCCCCGGCGGCTCAGTGGTGAAGAACCTGCCTGTAGTGCAGGATACACAGGTTTGATCCCTGGGTGGGGAAGACCCCCTGGAGGAGGACACAGCAGCTCTCTCCTGCATATTTGCGTGGAGAGCCCCACGGACAGAGGAGCCTGGTGGGCTACCGTCCACAGGGTGCAAAGAGTCGGACACGACCAAAGCCACTGAGCATGCATGCATATAAAACAGATATCCAGCAAAGACCTACTGTATAGCACAAGGAACTATACTCAGTATTTTGTAATAACCTATAAGGCAAAAGAATCAAAAAGCATACATATACATATACATGTTATATATACATACACACATAACTAAATCACTGTGCTATACACCCAAAACTAACACGACACTGTAAATCAACTATATTGCAACTTTAAAAAAAGACTTAATGGCAAAAATGTAATTAATTAAACCAAATTTAAAATGCTAGCATGGTCCTGTGGTCCTATTTCACTGGCTAACCCTGACAGCACTGGGGTCTCAGCTGGCCTGTCTTCCTAATGCCAAGCTTTGTGTTTTGTCTACCAACTTATCATCCTCCTCTGTGCAAAGAAGACTCTGATGTTAGGGAAATTAACAAAATTCATTTTTCCAGTTTGATTTTCCATGATTTGACTGTCAACTCATCCCTGTTGCTGACCACTCTTCATCTCTAGGATTCAAATTCAAAACCTGTGGATTGGATACAGGCCCAAAGCTAATGTTAGAAAATAGGGCCAAGTGGATCATCTATTACTACTAAGACTTTAAAAGGATTATCCATTCCTTGCAAGCAGCCAGATGGTAGATATGGTATACAGGCCATCAGCTCTGGCAATAATAGTTCTGATACTTCTGAGGGGTGAGAAAGGAACCACCGAGAATATGGGACAACCGGAAAGCAACGCTAAGTGCAGTTAGAGTAAGAAAGGGTGCAGGCTGATTGGTTTCTTAACCAGGCCAATTATTCAGGACAAGAGATCAATGTCTAAGAACAGTACAGTCTGATATATGACTTGGGGTCTTTTTGGTCTCCATGGACTCATTTAAGTGACACTGAGCTCATTCCCAAAGAGAAGAGTGGATAAAAACGGGTTTAATCCTTTGATCTGGTCTCCCTCAGAATTCGTCCATGGCTTACAGTTCTTTATCTCCAGTGAACTTAGCACCATACAATGCACGCAGCACGCCTGTGTGCATCCTCAGTCCCTTAAGTCATGTCTGACTCTGCAACCCTTGGACTGTAGCCCGCCAGGCTCCTCCGTCCCGGGATTCCCCAGGCGAGGACACTGGAGTGGGTTGCCATCTGCTCCTCCAGGGGATCTCCCTGACCAGGGCCCAGGCACATGGCAGGAGCTCCGTAAAGCCCTGAGAAGTGGGCTCACTGCAGCGACTTTACACTGAAGCACTGAAACGCTGCAAGTCTCCCACCAAGAAGCCCCTTGGGATTACCAGTTTCCAGTAAAAATCTATGTAGGCAGATCTTGCCAGTCCCTCAACCCCACCCAGCAAACAAGTAAAAAGAAATTCACCATAATGATCCCTACATAGAGGGATATTTCTTCTTGAGCTACATGAACCTTGAACCCATTATAATCCCTGTCATTCCCATTTTCCCTCAAGTTAAAATGGGCATTAAGTTCCATTTGTGGCTTTAAAACTTAGAGATTGTTTACATAAAGGACCTAAAATCCCAAATCACAAACACAGAAACAGCAGTAGAAGAGATATCAGAGCTCTTGTCCACATCCTTTATTTTTATTAATGAAGAAATTGAAGCCTAAAGAGATGAAAGGACTAATTTAAGGTCATATTCCTGGTGGTTCCTCCCTTACCTCTCAGAAGTACTATTGACATCAAGTAACATTAGTCCCATTTGATGGTGTCAAGTCCCATCTGAAAGTTCCCATACATGGGTGCTAAGGTGGTTCATTCTGTCCCTGACGTTCCCAGTTTTCTAAGGCCTCCATTGTGCCAGGGAAAAAAATGAATGGGCTTTTGTCCAAAAGAATTCCAGAAGCAGAGAATTTTGGTTTCTCTTTGGAACAGTTTTATTTAAGCTCAGAAGAACTTTTTAAACTATTGTTTGGAAAATAAAACAAAACTATGCCCTCAGACCTTGAATCCCAGACAGAGAGTCACACTAGCAAACAATAACATAAGATGTATCCTATGCGCATTAAAATATGAGTAAATGTTTTTATATCATAAAAGAGAAAACAACTCTCAGCCTGGAGAGGCTGGGGAGTGCTTCAGCAATGACAGGCCATGTCAGCTGGGATTTCAAGGACAGGGGTCAGGGCCAGAACATTGCACACAGAGAGAAGCACGTGCAAAGTCCTCAAGGAAGGTGACGGCATGACACGTTCAAGGCTGTGGAAGTGGAGAGCGCTGTAGTGTTCAGTACAGGCAGAGAGGAGAGTGATGCTGAATGAAACGGGAGAGACAGGAAAAGCCAGATCACACAGGCCCCCGAGGGCCATGGACGGCCCAGGATTGGGGGCTTTATCCTTAAAGACATAGCAAGTCCTTTAAGAGTTTTAAGTGAAAGAGAGAAACGGCCAAGTTCAAGTTTTTTTTAAATGACTCTGGCTGTAGTTGTAGTGCTGAAAATAAATTATTAACAGAAGGGGAAGGAAACAATATGGGAAGACAGTTGGGTCTATTGCCAGAGTCCAGGTGACAGAAGATCGTGGTTTGGTGGGGACAGCGATGGGGTAAGGGGGAGATGTGGGGTAAGGGGGAGACGTGGGGTAAGGGAGGAAAGTGGCTAATCAGAGAGGCCCTTAAAAGGTGAAGGCAAGGGAACTTGCAAATGGATTGGATAAGCAAGGGAGGGAAAAGAAAGTAGCAAGGATACATTCTAGGGTTCCATGTATACACATGGCTAGATGGTCTGCTCCTAGAAGGTAACATAGACTCACAAGGATTGGACTCTGTTACACTGAGATTTATATGTCATTATAATAGGGATGTCATGTGGGCAGCAGGCGATATGGGTCTGAGGCCCCAAGGCATCTGAGCTGGAAATGTTGAAAAAAAAATTACTCAGAGAGTAATCAACTAAAGCCTTGGTTCTGTATAAGATCACCCAGAGAAAAGAGCATAGAAGGAGAAGAGAATGGAGTCTTAGAAAGCCAACATTTGAACAAGTAAAAAGGGTGGATCTGCAAGTGGCTGAAAAGAATGAGGTAAGAAGAAAATTTTGACAAATTATCTTTTATCAGCTCTGCTTTTAAAGAGAAAAACTGTAAAAGCAGGCAAACTGCCACAGCCAAAAGGAAAGATAAAAACAAAGAAGCTCCAAAATTCCATTTATATAGTTACTATTCCTTGGATTACCAAGAATTGCTTCCATCAAAATTCTTACTTGCTAAGGTAGGTTTTTATTCTTTTACAAAGCCCATACCATCTTCCTTTTAGGTAAAGTATACTTCCTCACCAATTGATTTGGGGTTTGGCCATATGACAATGGATGTGAGCAGATGTGATATAAATGTCTAAGCAGAAACTTTAAATACACTTGTATCACTTGGCTCCAGCTTTTTTAAATTCCTTCCCCCTGCCATGAGAAGAGCATGCTTCCTCAACAGGATCCTGAAATGAAAAGATACAATGAGCAGAACCTCCAATGTAAACCAGTGCAGTCCAGCAAAGCAACAGTTAATTCAGCCCTCAGGAGACATGAGCAAGAAATAATGTGTGTGATTTTTAACCACTGGAGCTTTGCATGCTATTTGTTACTGCAGCAAAATCTGACTAATATACCTGCTCACAGTGAGATTTCTTCAAAACTAAATCTGGTTATTTCTTACCATAGAAGGAAGCAAAGGTACTCTGTCTAAAACATACACCTGGCAATAATAAGCTATTTAGAGACATTCTCTCATTTTACTCCTTGAAACGATTATTCACATCATTTTATACGAGCAAACCGAGACTCAGATAAGTCGATTACATTTCTCAGGACCACAAAACTAGCAGATAGTATAAATGCGACAAAATTCATTTCACTGATTCCAAAACCTATGCACTCTCCTATTAAAGGCTTTGCTAGAAATCAAATGTAGATCTCCTACTTGGGAAACAAGAAAAAAACTTGGTGAACCATCAGCTCAGAGTCAACTTTAGACTGCATTCATATACACGGGTAGTTGTGCTGCTATTGAATAAGTCCAGAGTAAGCAGCAGGGGGACATTTGCCACTCTGGATCTGAGATATTACATTGCCACAGTCTCCACCTTTCCCTCACCAGATCTGAGATATCACATTGCCACAGCCTCCACCTTTCTCTCACCAGATCTGAGCTATCACTTGGCCACAGCCTCCACCTTTCTCTCACCAGATCTGAAATAAAACATTGCCACAGCCTCCACCTTTCTCTCACCAGCTCTCACCTTTCTCAATCACAGTTGAGAAAATCAAAGCTGTAAGGTGGAATTTAGTGCTCGTCAGGTTGCACTGAAAATTGGAAATAAAAGTTGCCTTTTATCTCCATCTCTACAGCCATGTAAAACAAGTGACTTTTGTAATATCTCCCTGTGATCACCCCTTATGAATTCATCTTGGTTTTCTCATCTAATCCTTGCTGAATCTCGAGGCAGAATTAAATCTTTAACATGTTAAGTAAGATAAGCAAGATATAGTAATCACTTATCAGTATCCATTTTTCCATTGAAGAGTTATGTGCCTCACCCAGGATTTATCGTTGCCTTGTAGAGCCCCTGATGAGACTTGGTGGGGGCAGACGGGGTGGGACGTGTAAAGGGAAGGCAGAGGGTTTGAAGTCAGACAAGCCTGGGTTTAAGTTTCAGGGTTTACATCCTGCTCTACCGCTTCCTAACTTGTAACCTTGGGAACTTGACTTTATGGCCCTGAACATCAGTCTCCTAGGTGCAAAGTGTGGATGAAAATACTAATTCAGTAAGTTGTCTGGACAGAGAAAGACAAATACCAATTGATATCACTTAAATGTGGAATCTAAAAAAAAATACCTGAAACTAGTGAATACAACAAAGAAGAAGCAGACTCACAGACACAGAGAACAGAGCTGTGCTTCGCAGTGGTGGGGCCAGGATAGGGACGGGAGGATGCGAGGCACAGGCTGCTGGGTGTCAGGCAGGCTTGAGGATCTGTTGTGCAAAATGGGGGAAACAGCCAGTTTTAAAAAAAAAAAATAACTGTAAATGGAAAATAACCTTTTAAATTGTATAAAACTTATAGTTTTTTAAACAAACTTTTTAAGTTGTTTGAGGGTCAAATGAGGTGGAATGTTCCCTTCTTCCCTGTGGTTCGCTGGCCTCTGCCTTGAACTGCAAACAGACTCAGTGGCTGGGATGGGAACCCTTTGAAAGCACACACACAGGGCTGAATAACCATCATCATCATCACAGGCACCAACGAGGTCAAGCACCAAATAGTGAACACCCACTAACTCCAACACCTTTCCAAGTCCTTTCCATACATTGTCTCTAATCCTCACAACCTTGAAGCAAAATAAATTATATTATACTCATCTTAGAGAGCAATAAACCAAGAGGTTAAAATTAGGGTTGGTCCTCCTGATCTCCAGGCTGGTTTCTTTCCCACTTATCACCCTCCTGCTCTTGGCTGCTAAGCTATGCATCTCTCGCCACTGTTTTCCATGAGACCTCTGGGGAGAAAAAAATACGAACAAATTTCCCTCTCAGGAACCCTGTCAAAAAGTATTGATTGTAAGACTTGCACACTAGAAGCTGTAAATTATTACTGAGAGAAATTAAAGAAGATCTAAATAAGTGAGACAGTCTGTATTCATGGATTAGAAAACTTAATATTGTTCAATTGGAAATTGTCTTCCAAATTGATCAATAAGCTCCACAACACACACACACAGAAATCCCAACAGGCTTTTTGCAGAAATTGACCAGCTAATATTTACACAGAAATACAAAGAGCCCAGCATAGCCAAAACAACTTGGAAAAAAGAACACAGTTGGAAGGCTTACACTTTCTAATCGCAAATTTTATCATTAAGCTACTATAATCAAGGCAGTGTGGTACTGACCATAAAGATAAACATAAACAAATGGAATGAAACTGAAAGTCCAGAAATAACCCCTTATATTTATGGTCAACTGATTTTCAACAGAGGCACCAAGGCAATTCAAAGGGGAGAAAGTAACTTCTTTAAAATGGTAATGGAATAATTGGACACTTTCATACTAAAAGTTTAGCTTAGACTCCTACTCACACCATACCTAAAAATTAACTCAAAATTAATCAAATGACAAATGATTTAACTCAAATTAAATCAAAATTAATCAAACAAGAGCTAAAACTATAAAAGTTTTAAAGAAAGACCAGCTAATATTTACACAGAAATACAAAGAGCCCAGCATAGCCAAAACAACTTGGAAAAAAGAACACAGTTGGAAGGCTTACACTTTCTAATCACAAATTTTATCATTAAGCTACTATAATCAAGGCAGTGTGGTACTGACCATAAAGATAAACATAAATGGAATGAAACTGAAAGTCCAGAAATAACCCCTTATATTTATGGTCAACTGATTTTCAACAGAGGCACCAAGGCAATTCAAAGGGGAAAAAGTAACTTCTTTAAAATGGTAATGGAATAATTGGACACTTTCATACTAAAATAGTATGAATAGTAGCTTAGAATCCTACTCACACCATACCTAAAAATTAACTCAAAATTAATCAAATGACAAATGATTTAACTCAAATTAAATCAAAATTAATCAAACAAGAGCTAAAACTATAAAAGTTTTAAAGAAAATCTAAAATCTCCTAAAATCTAGGAGAAACACTTCATGATTTTGAGTATGCAAAAATTTTTTAGGTAAGACACCAAAGGCACAAAGAAAAAAAAATGATAAAGTGAATTTTTGCAAAATTAAACACTTTTGAGCTTCATACCATCAAGAAAGTAAGAAGACAAGCTACAGAATCAGAGAAAGTGTTTATAAATCATATTTCCAATCAGGAACTTGTATCTAGAATATATAAAGAACTCTTACAACTAAATAAGTCAAACAAACCAACTTAAAAATGGGCAAAATATTTGAAGAGACATGTAGCCAAAAAAGATATATGAATGAAAAATAAGTATTTGAAAAGATTCTCAACGTCTTTAATCATTCAGTTCAGTTCAGTCGCTCAGTCGTCTCCGACTCTTTGCGACCCCATGAATGGCAGCACGCCAGGCCTCCCTATCCATCATCAACTCCCGGAGTTTACCCAAACTTATGTCCATTGAGTCAGTGATGCCATCTAACCATCTCATCCTCTGTCATCCCCTTCTCC